CTGATAAAATTTACAACGCTCGAGATAACGATACGAGCGGAATTTACGAGAGGCAGTCAAACAAATACGAGAAGCTGTACAAGCGAAGTAATTCGAGGAGAGACTTGGCGGATGTGAAAGATGACATTTACGAAAGAAACTACGGATCGTATGATTTAAATCGAGCGAGTACCGATTGCGATCGACAATTGTACTCCTCCGGAACTGACAGCGTCTTGTATGATAAAGTCGATAAGATCGGAAGGAACGAGATGAGTTCCGTTTGCGAGCAAGCCGGTAGAAAAAGGACAATATTTACAGTTCGCGTATTGAAGATGCTGACAAGATCCATAGTCTCGGGCAAGAAGATATTTACACGGGCAAGAATAGAAATAATCAGAAAAAGAATGGTCAGGAGGACATTTTCTTCGCGAAGAACTTGAAGAATAATGGGCACTATCAGGAACATTCGGACGGTGCAAGCCAACAGAGACGTTCGAGAGATCCGGAAAGGTCTTACTCCGGCAAAAAAGTCAATCGAGTTATCACCATGGATAAACCTTTGAGAAAAGAGCAATCGGATCCTGATTATTTGATGAGTATACATGAGAACAATCGCCCTCGAGTGAGAAGAAGAAGCAGAGCAGGCAGCGAACCACCCGTCAGTCATTCGGAGAACGCGAAGAGGATCCTACAGGAGAACACGCTAAAAAGATCGCAAAGTGACATAGACGTGGACAGAGGAGATCTGATGACAAGGGTTGAACTGCCTAGAAGAGGTAGTTTCCTGACTTCCGGAAGCACTCGGAGAACCAATAACGTCAAAGGAGGCACTCCGCTCGGATTCACGGAGTTATTTGATGAATTTAGGAATCAGGAGGGTTTGACCAGCGTGGATGACATTTTGGCAGCTATTATAGGTAAGAATCTTTTAAATAATAACTATGATTAAATAAAATTTGAAAAAATTTTTCTAAATTTCCCTCTCCGTGACTTTCCAGATCCAGAAGGTATGTCGTTTAACGATCTGAAGCCGCTCTACAAGGAATTTTTACTGAAACTGGCCGCGACCTTAACGCAAGACGAACTGTATCAGAGATCTGCGAGTATCATGAGAAGACGACGGAGACCACAAAGACGAAGGTCAAGTCGTCGATCTTGTTTACTGGGCAGAGCCATCAAGAGATCAGTCTCGAGATTGAAAGGTGGCCCCACGGAATTTACTTCCGTAATATTCCCGGCGAGGAGACTGAACGACAGCTTTGGCAGTAGTTCGTCATGCGACGTCAGAAATAATCATCGGAATCGGGTACTGGCGAGTAGAGTCGGTAGGAGAAAGTCTTCCTGGAGGACTAGCAAAAACGGAATATGCCACACAACATCGGAAGACAGCGATACATGTATGTGGAAATATTGTAATTAAAATCCAAGCTGGTTTCACGCCATTAAATTTAAATCTTGGATAGCTTATTCTTTCGTCCAAAAAAAAAAAAAGAAACAAAAATTTTGTGTAACAAAATAAAATATAAAATATATACGATAATAATATAATAGATTATTCGAATCTCTTATAATTAACATAACTCAAGCTTAATAATTATAATACCGTATAATTAATAAAATTATAAAACTGCACAGGTAGACGATTGAGTCGCAGCATGGGTGCTACCGCAAACCGAAGTAGCAGCGGATATGTGAGTTGCAGCGAATGCAGCTATGATTCTGAATCGTGTACATGCGTGTCGGCCGACAAGTGTTACTGTTCCTTGTCCAGACGGATACCGGCTATATCAGGAAACACAGTTGTTTGCGCTTGCGACACTGACAGCTGTTCCGAGAGCAATAAGTGTTATTGTGCGAGGAAGCCGATACAACCGACCATACTCGAGCAACTCAGACAGAAGGGAATCGTGCCGTCGGAGAGCACGCTCAGCAGAGGAGACAGTCCCGACAGGATTCGCGGTTCAAGACTGACCGGTAGTCATAGTTCGCGCAACACTGATTTCCTCAAGGTAGTCAAGAAGTATTGCATTAATTATTGATCTTGTTTTATATAGTCATATTGTAATCCATTTGCATGAACTCTGCAGAATCGATCGTCACCGGTATGCGGTAGTTCGGATAACTTGGCTTTAGATTACGATCTCTTCAGCCCAGGAAGGAGATCTCAGCAGTCGTCCGGTAGCGAAAAGGTCCTCGTAGTCAGCGCTAGAGATACCCAGGGTCGTTTGGTTTACGTCGGCGGCGCGGAACGAGACAAGAAGTATTCCTCCCGCGGCAGCGGGAGATCTGGAGCGCATCACGAAGCACTCTCCATCAAAAAAAGCGCAGAGATAGCCGCGGTTTTCGGTGCGAGCGAGAGCAACCGAATCTCGAGAAGAGCCAGTAACGCGTCGAGTACAAGAAGTTCAGTCAGTCTCGAAGCTGGCCTGGGCTACTTGCCTTGATGGAAATATCCAAATTATCTCCAACGATGTTCTCGCATATTATTTAATATTTAATATCATAATACACGTGTTCGTGTAACATCTTGCCATTCGCGTTATGATCGAAAAAGGATCGTTCACGAACGTATCGTGATTCAATTAGTCGTTTCTTGATTAAAAAATATATGCAACTACTTACTCGTACCTGTTTCATCTTGAGAGATCTTAGCATGTAAGTTACAGAAAACAAAAATTATTTATATATTTTGTTTCAATTTTAAAAATCAGCGCTTACTGCATTTAGCAATATAGCGAGCAATATAGCGAGCAATATAAAAGATCGAGTTATATTTTCTTTCTACGTTGAACCTGATAGCTTACTATTTACTATAAAACGGGGCAGTGCAATATGACAAACGCGATACAAAGAGTCGAATGTGTTATAAAATACCATTTTTATGTTCATGTTTTAGAAAAATATTATACGCTATACGTGCATATTTACAATATAAACTTTTGCACTATGTATTGCTAATAAAATCTTCATCTATCTTACGGAACTTTTCTGTGTACTCAGATGGCACTTTTACTTCCTTCAAGTTATCTAAACCAATTTCTTCTTCGGTTCTAAAACAAAATGACATAAATTTCCATTGTAAAAGAAATTAATAATTAACGTACAAATAAAACTTTATTAAAATATTTACTTGATCAAAATATCCACAATATTTTCACATGCCAATAAACAGCTCTTGTCTTTTTCCCATTTATGAAGCTCTCTAAGTATAATATATGTATTCTTTTCTCTCAATATTTCTCTAGCCACTTTTGTCGCACAGAGTTGATTTAACGCTTCTAAAAGCATAAGTCTGAAATAACATAAAAATAATAATAACATTATTAATGTCTTTCTAAATTAGATTTTGCAAAACATTCATTTGCCAATCTATACTTTACCTTATATCAGGATCAGATTCTCGAGTTTTCGTTTTAGGAAGATATTGCAAATTAATTGGCAATTTATCATTATCTTCATCGTCAAACTCTTCTGGACCAGCAAGTGGCAACAACAAGTATGATAATAAATCCACTTCGGGCCTTAGCAACCACTCGTGATTTTTTGTATCAAATGTGCAATTTTTCAATGTACCAACAATGCCACCTCGTCTAATTATACTTTCAGAATATTCTGTAAACGGAAGAAGCCGTTGAATAATACAACGATCTTGATCCATCAGGTATCTATAGTGAAATAGATGTATCAACAATTTGAATAGCATAAGATATAGTAAAATCTAAAAATAATCAACTAAATACCTCCTTACATGTGGCGATTGGCTAAGATTACTAAAGACAGGCCCAAGATAATGTAATTTATCACCTGTAGTATTGTACTGCTTTGTAGTAAATGCAGCTACTATTTCATCCCAGGAATAATTTTGTTCGATGAGTGTGATTATTCTGTCTACTAGATGAAATGGTCTGGTCATATTAGAAAGTATCATGCAACATAAATCTGCTAACGTACTGGATTTATCCATTACAGCCCTACAAAATTTATTTGTAAAGTCCAACATATAAACAGAAATTATAAAACAGTAATAAGAAAATTATATATATTACCTCAAACAAACTTTTATTAAATTCAGACTAGGTTCCTGGATAGCCACATCTGTTAAAAACATAGATTAAAAATATATGGTAAAGTGTATAAATTTTCATAAAATATAAATAGAAATTAATAATAACATTCTATAATTATTCATAATATTCTATTTATGAAATAAATAGAAATTTGGTTAAATTCGCTATCGATTGGCTGATATTGCTGACATTGGCTATATATTGCTAACTTACTAAGCTTATTATTTTCTATTGAGTTACCTGACTCTGAAATAATTAACATTGCACTAGCTCCTGATTCATCTCCAGTAATATTTATCAACGTTTGTGCAGCACAACTGCTAATTGAAGCACGAGAATCTTGTAAATAAACAACAAGTTGCTTCAACATTTCTGGTAATTTTAACAGGAGTTCTCGGCCATCAGCAGTCGCTGTCAGACCTACATAATATTTAAATGATCTGATGAGGTTTTGAGAAGCAAACTAAGAGATGTGATATTTTTTAAGATATTTTTTAAATGTAAAAACACAGAATACATACGGAGCACCTCGTTCAGCGCCAAAAGTATTACATCAAAGCGATTATCAGATTTTAAATATTTAGATATTTCTTCTAGAGCCTCCATTATTACTAAATATATTTGATTCAGCTTCAGCAATCTATTAATTTGTTTAACACAAAAGTTCCGATTTTAGAAACTTTAAAAACGTATTTTTGCGGAATACATATCATTCAACATAACACTTGCACGAATGAAAATGAATGGAACGAGTAGCCCTCTACATAGTATTCGTGTATATTAATACTAGATTCTCGATTTTTTTAGATCGATCTTACAACTTCGATTAATCCAGTGAATCGATTCTTGAAACCAAAGATCGAACCAAAAATCGATTAAAAATACAAAATATAATCATACTAGACATATGGTTGATTTTTCATGTACGTATTTCGTGCATAGAATTTATATAAATTTATTTAAATAGGCTTTAAGTTTCAATACATCTTTCTATCTGTTTCAAGAGTCTATTTTCTGTTTGTACGATATATTTCGTACAAAATGTTTTCCCGTTTACGTTTAAATTAAAGAAATCGCACTAATGCATATAATCTGCTGGAAGATAAATTGAATCAATAGACATTAGTATTTTTCTAAATGAAATGAGATTTTTTTAAATTTTAGAATTGATTCTTCTTTCTTGAAGACATTATTTTTTTTTATGCAATCACTTTGTAATTTTCGATTTTTATCTTTATGAATAAACTTTTCACATTGTATACGAATCGACGGATGGAAACTTTATTCTCTTTATTACAGGTGATATATTGTTGTATATTTACTCTGAAGTTATTATCAGAGAGAAACCTGAAAGTGGCTATCGCAGACTTTTTTATGGGACCATCAAAGCCCTGTACACCATTACATATTTTTGAATTTGAAACTGCTTAGCTACATCCATTTTTCAATACTACCAATAAAATCACATTCTGATGTATGTCCGTGCTGCATCCACCAGCCACCATTCAAAATATGCTTATATAATTATACATCTCCACGTAATTTTTTTTGTTGTAGTACTGATCAGTACTTTGCTAAAGAACTGATTAATTTTAACATAGTGTCGCGCTCGCAGCGGATACTCGCACAATTCACTCACGCATTCTCTTACTCGCGAAATAGCGAGATCGTTATATAAAAGAAAAGAAGAGAAGATTTTATTAATTCAGAAGGGAAGATTTTATTAAGAGAAAGCACAAAGAAATACGTAATATTAGCAGCCGCTTCGCGCCGAAAAGGAACTATCTTTCTCTCGTAAATCAATACTCAACGTAGCTGACAAAATTCGAACTCGCTCGTTTCTGAAACTTTAATTGTTAATAACTTTTTAACTAGAGGTATGCAAACGAAAAATCGACCTGTTTGGCAATGTGCAAACGAATATCTATCGATCGGGTCTATTTAAATTGCGTATCTTTGGAATTCATCCTAAAAACGAATTTTTTTATGTAGATCTGCTGCTCCCCAAGACTTTGTTTGTTAATAACTTTTTAACTAGAGGTGTGCAAACGAAAATTCGAGCTGTTGGCAATGTGCAAACGAATATCTATCAATTGAGCTATTTTTTATTTAATTTACTCATAATTGGGGAGCTAATGTGAAAATGGTCCCCCGAAATTTGTTTTGTTAATAACTTTTTTACTAGAAGTGTGCAAACGAAAATTTGAAATGTGCATACATGTGCAAACGATGAGCAATAGAAACTTTATGTTTTTCAATGTTGGGGGGCTATCTTCACACAGGTGGAAGTATATGGGAAAAACTATGTGGGAACTAGATGGGAAAAACTATGTGAGAAGTATATGGGGAAAACTATGTGGGAAGTATATGGGGAAAAACTACGTGGGAAATATATGGGAAGAACTATGTGGGAAGTATATGAGAAAAACTATGCGGGAAGTATATAGGAAAAATTATGTGGGAAGTATATGGGAAAAACTATGTTGGAAGTATATGGGAACTATGTGGGAAGTATTTGGGAAAAACTATGTGGGAAGTATATGGGAAGACCTATGTGGAAAATATATGGGAAAAACTATGTGGGAAGTATATGGGGAAAACTATGTGGGAATTGTATATGGGAAAAATTATATGGGAAGAACTATGTAGGAAGTATATGGGAAAAACTATGCGGGAAGTATATAGGAAAAATTATGTGGAAAGTATATGGGAAAAATTATGTGGGAAGTATATGGGGAAAAACTACGTGGGAAGTATAACCTGTATGAAGATAGCCCCTCAACATTGAAAAACAAAGTTTCTATAGCTCATTCGATTGCTTATCGTTTGCACGTGTATGCACATTTCGAATTTTCATTTTTTCTTTTTTTCCACTAATTCAAATTAAGTATTTTTATTTAACGTAATATATTTAAGATACAAAGTAGAACAAGATATATGGTAAAATTAAATATAAAGTATTTTAATTTTATTTCTAATTTCAAACTATTATTATATTTTAATGTGTCTTTTTTATTATACACGCATTTACAACTATATATTTAATTAATTATACAATCAGACATCAGACAATTCATCAGACATACAATTATGTACAAACTATTGTGATAAAGGAGATCGTCTAACAAAGACTAAATTAAAGATAAAAATAGAGATGACACAAGTTAATAAATCAAGAATAATTTTTTTTTACTTTAATATTTGACATTTTCGGGTACCGGTAATGCAGTTGGCGATGATTGTGTTTCGTTTATCATCCGCATCTTTGCGCTTCTGTAGCCACATGTTGGATTCTAACCTCTGAAAGAAAAGAACTGTTTATATGCCGGAATAATTTAAGAGCTATATTTTGTTAATATTTTCAAAAGATGACGACTAATGAAAACGCAACGTGTATGGAAGATATATTAAACGGCAATGCAGCACCGACACAAAATAAAGATATATCAAAATCGCCTGAACTTGAGAAACGCGAGAAACAATATATTCCACGAGGCAAACCAAAATCTGGTAGGATATGGAAGGAAGAAAAAACGAAGTAAATTTTACAGTTTTCGATGATAATAATATAATTCTTTTTTTTCTTCTTTTCATGAATGTTATAGAGTCAAACCATTGTCAAATCTTTTTTCAAACATGATTTATTTTATCTTTATTGCTATTTGAATATTTTTTGTTCAAGGATTTGTTTACTCAATAAATGTTGCATCGAACATCTCATTCGTAATAGTTATATATATTTATAACATAACTCTAGTTTAACTCTATTTTAGTAAATCACAATAATTGATGTAGTCTTAAAATTATTTCTGATGTCTACTTTGTTATATCCTAATATTTCATATAATAAATAAGTGTAAAGATATCAATGATGCAAATACTCATTGTACAGATTTTCATCTATAATTAAAACACGTGGAATTCGACTCTCGTTCGCTAAGAAACAAAAATTGAGAGAAGATTTGAAACGTGTTAAAGAGATGTCACGAGCGATTAAGGCTGAAAAGCAGGCACAGAAGGAGGCTAAGAAGCAACGGAGGAGAGAAAACTTGAAGAGAGCAGAAGAGAATAGAAAAAAGAGCGAAATTGTGCAAGTTGTAAGTGGGAATTAATATAATTTATAAATATAGTATATATTTGTTGGGTACACATAAAATTATAAAATTTTTATTATTTCCAGATTACGAATACTACAAAACTCAAAAGAATGAAAAAGAAACAGTTAAGAATGATTGAGAAAAGAGACACAATTAAAAAATAACTTTAAATAGAAAATAGGATATATAAATAGAAAGGAATGCATAACATTATGTTATTTGTTAATCATTTTTAATAAAAATGCTCTTTCATTCAGCGTATAAATTCGGCTCTCTTTTGCATTATCTTTAAATGTAATTAATTTTTTAACTTTTTCCCTTTTCACGTGCAACTTGTATCGCTACAAAATCTTCAAGATCCATTTGTAGATTGTAATTCTCCTTATAAGTTTGCTTTATCTGCAATATGAATATAAATTATAAATATATATAAATATAAACTGTAAATATAGTTTAATTTATTATAATGATAATTAGGACTTACATTTGTTCTAATCCACTTTGGTAAATAATTAATGTTTTTTGACTCTTTAAATCTGTACAAATAATTGTAATGAAATTTTTATTTATGATTATTATCAAATATTATCTTGTGCGTACCTTTCATCTACTAGCAGCACAGCACCCCAATCGTTTATATGCCTGACGCAACGACCTATCGCCTGATTTAATGCCCTAAATGCATTTACGACATACCATTCACTACCAGATAATAATCCTTTAGATGTATTTGAATCATTGTACTTCATCTTTAAGTCTATATCATTGTTTTTATAAGAAAATGGGATGCCCACCTAATAAGTGTAAAAATGATTAAAAAATGTATGATGCATACACATACATGCCTATAAATATGTAAATCCAATATAGAATTTGAAATATTACTTACTGCTAATACGCAACGAGCCTCGTTATCACTAAAATCAATTCCTTCCGCTATCTTGCCTCTGAAAACTGCAAATAAAATAGCTCCGCATGCTTCTCGAAATGATTTAGATGATGATTCCTCAATGACACTACGATATTGATTCATGACTGCGAGCAAATTTTTATTATCTTTCGGCTCCACAAAAATTGACTTCAATTCTGAGAGTTTATTCCACATGCCATTATTCTTCCATCTTTCGTGAAGCGTGTTCATTGCCTTATAAGACGAAAAAAAACATAATACACCATATGGTACTGCATCACATACTTTAAGAATTAATTCACCAAGCTCGTCCTATTATGAAATAAAAAATTTATAAATTATCGTCTGATTTTTGTATACGTCATTAAAACGAAATAAAACTGTTTCTCACCTGGAAATTCAAAGTATTCATATTCTCATATCTGGCATTTAAAAATTTTCCATTTGGCCCTTGTGAAATACATCTTACGTACACTTGATCTGAAGGTATAATATGTTGAGGATTGACTAAATGTGGAAATTGCGTGTCGAGTTCACTTTGAAATGATGTGGTTGGTGTCAAAGTACCCGAAGCAAGTATTATAGAACGAACACTAAGAGCCAAAGGTTTAAAAACTATAGCAGGATTCATACATATTAGCTTAAAAGTTCGTACTTTGCCTCTCGAAGTCCACTCATCACCGAATGCCTGTTAGAAAATAATTACGTAATATGTGATACCATTGTGCAGATCATAATTATGTTGAATGATCGTAATTATATTGCTCAGATCGACTTACAAATTTCTTAGTAGACTCAATCGTTTCTATGACATATACTCTGTAATCATGAACAGAACTGTCTGATGCAAGCGATTGCATAGCGTAACAGAGATACTCAAGAATTTTCTTAGTCTCACGTGAAATAGTGAGCATCATTTCTTCCTTACGAATCTCTTCCTTCATATTTTTCCCAAAATCATTTATAGCCACAGTACTGGCGGCATAAAAATTGGAAAAGCTAAGACTCCCGATGTTATATATGTCGAGCAAAACCCGAAATTCAATGCCAGGCCAATGTTTACTGGTCATATCATTATTAAAACCCTGAAGCATATAT